GGGTGCGGAGTGGAGGGGGTCAATGGGGGAGAAAGAGGGACATGTGTAGTACTTTCAACATAAAGGTAAAATTTTAAAAATAGTGAAAGATATACTAAGCCTCTTAGTTCCTGAAATGGGGGTACTCCTTCCCATTTCATCTCACAGCTCTGCTGACAGTGGCCTTTTGGAATTTCCCTACCTTCTTCTCAAATCAACTGTGCATTTTAAAAAATACTTGCTATATTTTATATTGTATTTCCAAGTGTTTTTTATGAGTTTTTCAGTGATTTTAGAATTCCAAATTTCTAGAGAATGAAGTTACTTAAGAACACTATGCTGTTATTACACACTGTAGCTCTGCCTGACTGGAATTCTAGGGCCTACCCAGAATCTGAGATAAACAGGTCTGAGCAAGGGAGGCTTACTCATGGCTTATCCTCTGGAAATGACATCCCATTATCTTACTACAATATCGATCAGCAGAGTTTTTTAAAACACCAGTAGTGAAAGATAGCTTTTATTCTTGAGCTTTCCTTCTTTGTGTTTATTGATAATGAGAATCCTAATCAATACCAATCTCTTTCAAGGCAAAGGACCAATGAGCTCACGCTTTAGGTGTCCTAGTGCTCATTTGTGGTTTCAAAACTACAAATTAGTGACCTGTTGAGTAATGGAGATAAGCTCTGGGAATTCCTGGATCTAGCAAGCTATGTGCTCTCTTTTTCTGGGTGCACTGAAGATAATTTGAGCCCTCAACTCAGTGTGACTTTTCAGATTAAGAAATCAGTGAGTACCTGGAATAAAAGGACCGGATTGGAAAATAAACTTTTTTCACTCCTACTTGGAGACATTGAAATAGAGATTTGACTTGGTCTTTCTTTTAATTTATACAGTTGCTTCTTCTATGAAAGCAATAAGCATATCTTATCTAAGAAAGATGAAAGTGGAAACAATATTTATTCATACCATAAGTATTTATTGTGTATCTTCTATGTCTGTATCAGACATGAAAAGGAAAGGCCTGATAAAATAGGTCAGAAGATCAAAGGAGACTGGCAGATAATAGGCTGCTCTGGTCCTATGTTTGCTAATTGGAGTAGATGAGGTTCAAATCAGGGACTGAGTACCTCCATGAATGTACTCTTGTATATGTACAGCATCCAAGAGTTGAGATAGGTGAGTGGGATACTCAAGATCCTAATTAAATCATAAGTTGATTGTGAAAAAAAATAATAACCAGTTAAATAAATATAATTTACATAAATTAAAACTATATAAATAAAACAAACCTAGAATTAGAAAAAAAATACGACTACATATAGTTTTGTATCCAGACAAACCAAACTATTTTCCAATAGCAGAGGTGGGAAGAAGGGGCAGTTTGGGAAGAGCGGGATGAGGAGGAGAGAAGGGACTTTAATAGAGTAGGAGTTAGGAAATCCAGGAATGAATAAAACTTGCCCCGTCATAAAATTCCCTTAAGCTGGGCTCTTCAAATTATTCACACTAACTAAGATAAAATGTTCACAGATGTTCAACAAATTTAAGAAGCTGAATTAGCAGAGCATTTGAATGTCTCCATTATGAAAAGAGATACTCTCTCATTCAGAAGCAATAATGAGCTGTTTCCCATTGATTGATACCATTGGGAGGGAGACTAGGGAACTTTAATATTTTTCCCCTCTCTGATGTTATTGCAATGGTAAAGTTAAAAGTTAAATGTTAATATTAAAAGTTGAAGAGGCCCACCCAACTTCAGCCAATCATCTACACTGCAACTGAGGAAATTTTTGTGCTGACATCTCATAAATTCTCACTCCCACAAATTCTTCACTTTACTACAGTATGATTTATCTTCCCCAGACTCATCACTAAAATAGTTTAAGATATACTAAACACGTGGTCGGCAAACTGCTGCTCACAAGCCAAATGTGGCTCCTTGGCCCCTTGAGTCTATTTTGAAGAAGTGGCATTAGAAGTTTAATTTTTAAAAAAATGGCTCACAAATTTCAATCATTGTACTATTGATGTTTGGCTCTGTTGACTAATGAGTTTGCTGACCACTGTACTAAACTATTTTAATATTAACTTTATGTTTTCTTTTCCCCTTAATCCTTTCACCTCCAGTGCCCCCTAACCCTCATAGCTGTCAGCCTGCTCTCTATGAATCTGTCTTTAAATTTTACCAAATTCATGCTTTTAAATTTTACACTTCTTCTTGAACTTCTCTGTGAAAATTGACAATACTACTTTGAAACTCTTCCTCTCTTGGCTTTTTCAAACCATGTCTCTTGATACCTAAGATCACTTCTAGGCCTCCTTTAAGTAGATCCTCTTCCTTTGCTGACCATTACATGTTGCTACTCCCAGGTGTGACTCTTGGCCTTTCATCTCACCCTACTCACTGTCCCCAGGTGACCTCATCTGCTCTCATGCAGTCAACCACGGTCACTAGGTTAGGCTGCTACCCCCACATTTATCATCATAAACCCAAATGTCTTATGGGAATCTTCAGCTCAAATTTAAGATGTTTAAAAATGCACTCTCATCTTTTCTGAGCTGGTCCTCAGAAAAGTGTCCAGTGTCCACTCTTCCAGCCTTTTACAGTGCTGATATGAGTGCTAGCTGCCTGCACAGAGACCAGTGAAGATTACCAGTCTTGGTTTTCAGGTCAGAAATTTTTCTGGAGCAGCTCCAATGTATTTTTTAAGTCCAGGTGATTAATGAAGCATATATAATACAATTAATATTTGTGCTTTTGTAGCACTTTGTATATAAACAAGTTCCTAAACCACAAAAATAAATCCTTAATAGACCATGTGACCCAATTTGAGTTTGGAAAGTTATTATTCTGTATACACACTAAATCAAAGTAGTAAACTGGCATTGTGGCTTAGGTAACTGCCCTCTGTGAATTTGATTAGTGTCAATCAATTCCCTGGATAGCTGTATAAAGAAATTTAGTTTCTAACTTTTTGAGGCTGATGCTCTGACTTCTTAGAGTGCTCAGCAAAGTGAAGTCACTTCCTAAAGTCCAGCTTAAAATGATAATATATAGTCACAATTTATTGTGCGCCTAGTGTGGGTCAGGCTCTGTTGTGGCCACTTTGCAGTTAATACTTTAATCTTTATAATGACCCTACAAAGTACCTCAACCCTTTCATACAGATGATAAAACTGGGGCTTAAGTCAGTGCTGTGCTAGATCAACTTTTATGGGCTGTGAGAGTCAATAGTATAAAGTCTTCCCGATCTTGCATTCAGTGACATAATATTGGGAGGTTAAAATCAGCTATGATGGGAGTATTAACACCACAAAAATTGGCACATGTGACAAATCAGGGCTTATTTATTTATTACTAGTGGCCTGGTGCACGAAATTTGTGCACGGGGGTGGGGTAGGGTGGTGGTCTCTCAGCCCAGCCTGCACCCTCTCAAATTGGGGACACCTTGGGGGATATCCCTCTCACAATCTGGGACCACTGGCTCCTAAAGATTCACCTGCTTGCCTGATCACCCCTAAATGCCTCTGCCAGCCTTTCTGATTGCCCCTAACTCCTCTGCCTGCCTATCTGACCACCCCCAACTGCCCTCCCCTGCTGGCCAATTTGGTTCTAATTGATCAATTTCTATGCCAGTCAGCATCAAAAGCTCTGCCTCCTAGGCAGCCATTGGCTCCTCACAGTTGACCCAGATTTGGTTCTTTTTTTGGGGGAGGGGAGAGCTGTTTATTAAGTGGTTATTACAGAGGTCAGAGTGCATAAGTGGTGTCAGCCCCAGCTGATTCATCACATCTCAGTGTTCATCATGAAGCCCCCAATGCTGGTCCCGGTGAGCCCTAAGGTCAGAAATGAAACTGTAAAGCTTCAGTCACATGCTTCTTCCAGGAGTCCAGGCTGGGCAGCAAGGAGGAGATGCCCATGATGTGTCAGGTCTCCCCATTGAGCACCACCATGGTCTGGCAGGACAGCAGCTGCATGCTTGCCTCTGCCAGGAGGCCAATCATGGTAGGCAGCATGGCAGGCTTGGAGGGCTGAGCCCAGAACAGGAGCAGAGGCAGATCCCTGCAGAGAGGCAATTCTGGTCTGAAGGCAGCTCCATTGAGTGCCTGCAGCACAGGTGTGGTGCCCTAGACAAAGTCCACACCCTGGTAGGGGTCACTGCCAGGGCCACGTTCACGAGGCCTTCTCCGCATCTTTGTTCTCCTGGCACAGATGGGTTTTGGGAGGTGATTACATTGAGACTAGCTTCCTTCACCAGCAGCTTAGCATTCTCCAAGTTCATATATGCATGATTAGAAGCATCTTTGAGGAGGCCGACAATGACATCAAGGCTCAGGCAGTTCCAGGCATTCTTCAGGGTTAAGCCCTGTGTTACCACCTGGATGGTCCCTTTGGGGCACCCTGCCCAGGATCGCATCAGAGTCCCCAGAGTTTCTACCAGACCGATCCGAGGTTTGGTGTGTGGAGAGAAGGCGCTGGTAAGGGCCTAGGCTTTCATGACCCCATGCAAGAGCTTTTCCCTTCACCATGTCCACAAACTGGACAGTGATCTCTTCCCCACAGTGGCTCTGGGCCTCCTTGGTGCTGGTGCCCAGGTGGGAGCAGCTGATGACAATCTCATGGTCCACCAAGGCACGGTCCCGAGGTGGATCATCTGTGAAGATGTCCAGCATTACGCCCCTGCACTGCCCTGACTGTAGGGCCTGGAGCAGGGTGCCCTCGTCCATGATCCCTCAGCAGATGCAGTTCACCACGCACCTGCTTTTTTTGCACAGGGTCAAGGTGCTGTCGTTCAGCAGGCATGTCGTGGAAGGCAGGAGAGGGTTGTGTACAGTGATGAAGTCACAGAGGGGCCAGTTCTACTCCAGGAGCAGCTTCTGAATCCTGAAGGAGGCTGAGACCTCTGGTAAGATGATGGGGTTGTATCCTACAGTCTTCATCCCGAAGGACTGTCTCTGGATGGCCACGTTTCCCGATCCTCTCCAGGCCAAGAACTACCAGGATCTTTCCATTCAACTCAGTTCCCATGAACTTCTTTTTGGTCCCATTTGCCATCCTTAATTGAAGCTGAAGCCGTGGCCTGGAAAATCTGCCTGGCCAGACACATGATCATCCCACAGGTAAGCTCCGCAGCACTAAGGCTATTCCCATCGGGAGTGTTCATGACCAGGATGCCCTCCCTTGTGGCAGCTTCCAGATCCACGTTTTCCATGACAGTGCTGGCCCTGCCCACCACCTGGAGCTTCTCTGCTGTGTTGATGATATTCGGGGTCACTTTGGTGGCCGAGTAGAGGATAAGGCTTTTGCAGTCCTGCAGCTTGGCTATCAGCTCCTCTTTGCTCAGGTTTTGCTTCTCCACCACCTGCAGCCCTCCATCTTGCAGCATCTTCCAGCAGCAAGGGTCCAGGCTGCCAGTGACCAGCACTTTCTGTGGATCTGTGAAGGCCATTGCTAGATCCAGCCTCGGCCTCGGATCTACCACTCTCCCTGGACAGCAACACCGCTAAGCCCCCAGATTTGGTTCTTATTGGTCAGTTTCTATGCCAGTCAACATCTCTGAGCCTATCAATGGGGCCTGATTATATCAGAAAGGCTGGGCTGATAAGCAGCCCTGGTGGAGTCTTGGAGAGAAATGGAGGTGTGGCTGCTAGCCAGACTGGGAGAGAAAGAGAGAGGCAAGTCAAGTGCTGGTCAAAAACTGCCACAGAGGCAACAGATCACTCCCTGCTTCTCTCTTCAGGCCTCTCTCTGGCTCTGATTCACAGCCCCTTTAGCAGTCAGTGCTGGGGCACCAGGCCTACAGCTCAAGCAGTCAGGCAACCCAGCACTGACTTCCAGCCTGGTGGAGCTTCCTGGTAATGGTGCTACACCCTGGCTCTTTATTATAGAGATACGAGTATCTTATTAGATATTTACCAGTACACCACAGTTTACAGCTAGTAACCAGCTGATCCAAGATTCAAACTTAGATTTGCCAGTCTCCAAACTCTTGCTCTGCCTCCCTGTACTGGAGACCATAGACTGAAGTCAGTATCCAGCACTTTCCTAAGGCTCTGAGGTTCTCTTTGTAGAAGACTGCACCCCCTTCCCTAACTAAATTCTGCTAACTCAAAATAAAGCAAAGTTCAGCCAGGGGCTATCCAGAATTCCATTTATTCTGTATCAACTCCTGCCAGAAAGGAAAGTCAAGTAGTGAAATTGTTAGAGAAATACCAAAGAGACAGAGACAATTTGACTCTTGTTTGTTCAGAATCCGTGAATAAGTGCAGAGGAGGAACTGAATAAACCATTAGTTCTCAAATGGCTTGAGGAACCCCACTGGAGAGCTCTTTCACTTGGCAGTGAGGAGAAGAACCCCACAGAAGCCTTAATCAACACTATCTAATTAAGGATCTGGAGTTTAATCTCTGGGCCAAGTGTCCATCTGCTTCCCATTTCCAATCATTTAGCACACATTAGAAGTGAGCAGAACATAAACTCAGAGCAACCTTGGTGATGCATTACATTTCCAAGACAGGAGTAAGACAAGAAACAAACTTCTAAGAAGATAACAGAATGGGCCTAATGCCTTCTAAAATCTGGCGTGGGCTGGAGTCCAATATTGAGAAAATAACCTTTAATAAATAATTGTTTTTAATGATACTGGACTCTCCTCTGGTTAAGAAGATATAGCAATCCCAAAGCCATAGTAGTCTTGCATATTCATTTTATATGTATTTTACAGTTTTTTTCTTTGCATGCTAGTTTCCTCTTTGGTTTTAAATTGCTAATTCTTTGAGTGTAGAGACCATATCTTTTAATCTTTATAATAATACATATGTTCTAACCATGAGTTGTCTGTGCTTTGCTCTTGCTTATTTTGCTTAAAGAAAGTGAGTGGGGTTAGTAAGAGTGGTGCTGGCAACAGCACAGGGCAATGTTCTTCTCACATTCAACACAGAAACCACCATCTGTGACACCTTCTCAGTCAGTAAAGGATGCATGCATTTGCCTCCTTCGGAGCAATCATGCCAAAATTTGAGACTTGAGAGAAAGCAGAGGAAGCCTATCTTTCCAACAAACCTAAGAAGTGTGGACCAGGGGAAGTACTTGCTCTCTGAGGACTAGCAGTGACACATTAAGGACAGTAATGACAGTGCAATCAAGATGTCGGCCAGACTAGACTCTAACCTGGAGGTTCTGGCAGGATTTCAGTGCCACCGAACTGTGGGCCTTCTCTCCATTTTCTTGCTGGCTGTCACACTCTGGTCAAAGAGGCCACCCATATTGCCTCTGTCATGTATCCTCCATTTTCAAAGCAGCATTGGGTAATTGAATCTTTTCACGCTTCAGTCTTTCTGAATTGCCCTTCTGCCACCAGCTGGAGAAAACTCTGCTTTTAAAGGGTTTGTGTGACTAGATTAAGACCACCTTTTATGATTTATAATCTTAATCACACCTGCAGGATCCCTATGCCATATAACAGAACATAATCACCCACGTGGTATTACAGGTTTCTCCCTCTCCCCCATATTCATGGTGGGAGATTATATAAGGCGGAAGGCCACTGGAGTTATTTTTAGAATTCTGCCTCCCACAGACAGGTTATGGGTGGGATTGCTCACCAAGGTCAGAAATATGAATTCAGGCGTGTCCAGTGTGATGGACTGAAGCATAGCCAATGACTTGAGTCCAAGGAAAGTTAAGGCAGCAGTAGGGCCAAAACTGGAGATAACAGCTGGATGTTTTCTGCTGTGTGTTTGTGGATGTGAGAGGCAGTGTGAAGAATAAGTTGTGGAAGGGAGATGTGCCACAAGGGGAAAGTGGTGGGGGATTGTCTGTTACTTAAAGCCTTTTGAACAAACAACCCAATGAGACTATAAAGCATATTTCCGTTATTGGGGCAACCAGGGCTCTGGAAGTCACCCTTGTACCCAAAATATTCAAGGGCTTCCTGATACTCCTCAGTTTAGCTTTGAAAACCTTCCCTTTATAGGCTCCCGCTGACATTCCAGCAGAATTTATCACAAATCCTAATGCATTTTCTGCTGAAGTTTCAGTAGACCCAGTACATAGTGAAGGAATGGATGGCAGCCAATGTTTCCCTCACAGGTGATGCTCTTACCCTGTGAGTTTACAGTGATCTGGGGTCTATCTCTAGTCTTCAGACTCACAAACTGGATTTTGCCCATACTGCAAATGCAGGCCTTGCCCAGGATAGCCCTTAAATAGACACTAATAATACTTGCCAACTATATTTCACTTGCTGCATGTACTGATATTTGCCTCTCCTCCCCTGGCTAAGTTCTTTTATGTCTGGAGTTTCCAGATTCTCAACTGTGACTTAGGAGATACTCCTTCTTGGGGCTTTGAAAATGCTTCCCTTTTCCAACAGTTGTAGTAGAACCTGCTGCAAGTTAGTGGGGCCCAGTTAGTGGGGCAAAACAAAAATGTGGGGCTCTTGTTAAAAGTGATTAAGAATTTCAAGGCAGTGACTGCAGAGTATTGAAGTGAGCATAGGGTCCTGTCTCACTGCACAGCTCAATGCTTGATTAGCTGCGCTCACTTATAGGTACTCCCCAGTGGCTTCTCAAAATTGCCTTTGAATGACAATCAAAGATCTAAGATAGGTACTGAAATTATGTGGAGCTCTTGATTTCTCTAAATCCACAAACATTGCATTGAGAGAAAGTCTTTGGCTTAATGCCTGCTGTAGAAATGGTAACAAACATGTGTGAAACTTTATGTCAAAAATGGCAAATAGGTATGGAAAAAGTCATCCAAATTTTGAAATATGGAATACTGATGGGTCAGATCATGGAAGCAGTAAATAGTAAGGAAGGAGAGGGGCTGCTTTTTGGACCTGCAATATCTCCTTGGGAAAGAGGAGAGGAAAACAAGAAGAAATAAGAGAGGGAGAGAAGGAGAGAGGGGGGAGTAATGGAAAGAAGAAGGAAGGAAGGAAGAAAGAAAGAAAGAAAGAAGGAAGAAAGGAAGGAAGAAAAGAAGGAAGGAAGGAAGAAAGGAAGAAGGAAGGAAGGAAAGGAAAGAAGAAAGGAAAACAGAATCTTACCTAGAAAACTTCAAGGCTTTTTTGGACGCGTGTTTTTCCTAAGGGTGCCAAAGGCATTCTCTAAAAGCACCTTGTGTTGGCACAGTGAGTCTGAGGTGGAAGAGCTAAACAGGCGTAGGATGGGGAACTTGGATAATGGGCAAGGCTGTATCCTGATGTGCAGTGAGAACTTTAAAATGTGCACTGGCAGATAAATGGGGATTGCCTCTGCCATCTGTCTTCCAAATGATCCTGTAGCTATAGCTATTATTTCAGTCAGACACTGGCAGGCTGGCGATTGTTCACAGCCACTGTGAAGAATAGGGACTTCCAAGGTTTTGGTGAATGTTACAACTTCCCACAGACCCTCTTTCAGCTTGTCTGAGTCATTAAAACATGCAGGAGACACAGGGCCTGTGACTGACTCAGACTTTTAGTGTCTTCTCCCCTCACCTCGGCCACTCTACCCCTTTTCCTGTGTTTCCCTCCTCCTCAAACCCTTCATCCTACCTTTCCTCACCCCTTTCTCTTTTTTTCACTAAACTACAGAAATATCTTGGTAGAAAATGTACTGTTGCTTCAGGAGGCCTGGTGTGGAAAGAAGGGCGTGCTAAGGTAAAATGTGCAGGAGACCAAGCTAAAACCACGGCAGCTCATCCAGAGGTCAGCTCCAGCATCCTGGTGGGTTCTCTCTGGGAAGGAAAGATACAAAGGGGAGTTAAAATATTCAGAGAAGAGATTCCAAAAAAAAAAAAAGACATGCACCATTAAACATTGTTTTAATCCTGGCTAACAAGTTGGCCAGAAGGTAAGAAAAACCAGCTGGAAGACACGGAGTCTCATCAACATCCCCCAAGAGGTAGGTGTGAGCTTGAGTACATGAAATAGCTTTGTTTAATTTGATAAATGTGCTCATTTGTCAGCATGTTAATTTTCATCCTTTTATGGGACAATTTGAGTGACATGATTCGGCCCACACCTGTTTTTCTGTGACAGATGGATTTGAAGCTCTACAGACAGCGCTCTCCTTCATGCTGCAAAGAACCTCCTGGCACAGACTCAGCGCTGGTAGAGCCTTACTATCTCACCTCCCATCTGGAGCAGGAAATGGCTTTGAAAGGATAGGCTTGAAGCAAAGGATTACTCTTTAAGCCTGGAATATATGGCAAGAAAACTAGAACTTGCTGTTTTTCCCCTTGACCTTGCTTATATTTTTATATTCTTCCTCCCTAGTTCTTCATTCTCTTCTCTTCCCCAACTTTCCACCCCTAACACCATCCTACTCAAAAGAAATACTTAAAAACAGAACAAAGAGTCTTCTTAGCTGCTTCTGTAGCAAGAGGTGTCATACATTAAAATCACTGTCTCTCATTAGAAAATGTAATTTAAGTTTCCTCAGTTCAATTTTGCCAAGAAGA